TGTCTCTCCCACTTTTCTCTCTCACTGTCTCTTTCCTCCTACCTCTGTCTCTCTCTCTTTTCTCTCTCACTATTTCTCCCTTCTTAGCTCTGTCTGTCTCTCTCTCTCTCTCTCTCTTTTCTCTCTCACTATCTCTTCCTCCCTACCTCTGTCTTTCTCCCTCACTCCCCCCGCTCTGCCACTCCTTCTGCCCCTCTCTCACTTTCCTGTCTTTCTCTCATTCTGTCTCTCCCACTTTTCTCTCTCATTATCTCTCCCCCCGTACCTCTGTCTATCTATCTCCCTCTTTTCTCTCTCTGTCTCTCTCTATCTCTGTCTGTCTCTCTCCCTCTCTTTTCTCTCCCACCATCTCTCCCTCCCTAGCTCTGTCTGTCTCTCCCCTCTCTCGCTCGTTCTGTCTCTCTCTCCCCTTCTCCTCTCTTTCTCTCTTTCTGTCTCTATCTCTTTTCTCTCTCACTGTCTCTCCCTCCTTAGCTCTGTCTGTCTCTCTCCCTCGCTCCCCCCTCTCTGTCTCTCCCTCTGCCCCTCTCTCACTCTCCTCTCTTTCTGTCTCTCCCTCTTTTCTCTCTCACCATCTCTCTCTCCCTCCCTACCTCTGTCTGTCTCTCTCCCCCTCTCTTTCTCTTCTCTCTTACTATCTCTTACTATCTTCTCACTCGCCACTCTTTCTCTCTTTCTCTCTCCTGATCTCTCCCTCCCTCCCTACCTCTGTCTGTGTCCCTCCCTCGCTCGCTCCTTCTGCCACTCTCTCTTTCCTTCTGTCCCCCCTCTCTCCCTTTCTCTCTCTCTCTCCCCCCTTCTGCACACCCTCTCTCTTCTTTTGCCCCTCCTCTCTCTCTCTTTCTCCTTCTGCCCCTCCTCTCTCTCTCTCTCTCTCCTTCTGCCCCTCCTCTTTCTCTTCGTCTCTCTTCCCTCTCCACCAGAGGAGTGACGGGTGTCTTTCTCTCCAATGTGACAGCACTATCCTGGAGAAAAGTGGGAGTTTCCGCTCTGGCCCTTACAGATTTAATAACTTTTTTTTTTTTTTTTTTTTTTTTTTTTTTTTTTTTGCTCTTCCCATCCCGTGCCCCTCCTTCGCGCACAAGCCCACAAGCCCTTTTAACTAACTGTTTCTGAGGGCGGGGGTGCACATTCCAATACCATTGCTTTACAAGGCCAGTCACTTTATGCTTTTTTTCCCCTCTCTCTCTCTCTCTCTCCCTCCTCTCTCTCCTCTCTCTCTTTTCTCTCTCTCTTTCTGTTGTGAGAAAGTAGGGAGGGACAGTCAGGCTAGTTGGTAGTTAGCTCGTGCGCCGCTGTCAACTTTTAAAACCCCGACCAGGCTTGCGCACGGCGGTTCGAGCTGCGGCACCCTGATCGCACCGGCCATGTTTCCGCCGAGCTGAGTTCTGCGGCGTCCAAAGTCCAGGCGTTCGAACCCGAAGTCCTTGCTATGACTGCTAACGCCGGTCCCGGGGGCATTTTTTGACACACACACGTTCCGTCAGGTAAGAACCGGTCATGGATTCGGATCACGACGTTGACAGAGGAGAAGAAGGAGGAGGAGGAGGAGAGGGGAGGAGGCCGTGCAGAGTTTTGTTTTGCGCGGAGTAGTTGAGTAGTTGGTTCTAGTTCATACCAGTTTAGTGACATGCGCTGACTACTTTGGGTAAGCATTTCGAGCGTGAGTGAGAGAAAAGCGGAGAATAGAAGACACGTGTTTGCAGTGGACACAGAGGCACTCCTTTATGTTAAGTTTTTCCATTTCTTGCACAGTAGCAGAAGCAACAGAAGAAGAAGAAGAGGAAGAATGACTAAACACAGGATCAAACCAAAGGCCTAGTCACGTTTGGCAAATGTTGTTGTTAATTAGATGGTAGTTAAAGGTGCATTGTGTGACTTTTTCTTACTTACTTTTCTCCATGGAGACTTTATTGCTTTGACTGGAATGTTCCGTGGTATGACATTCAACATATCCGTCTAACATTTATTCATTACCTGCTGTTTTTATTGCTGAAAAATGCAATACTTCCTTCTGTGAATAGAGGCGCCTCTCCACAGATGTGAACTGTAATGTAACGTAGCGCTGTAATCTGCTCGTCTCTGTCGTGATAGACAGCTTTTATCCGTGGATTCCAGACAAAGCGGTGACATTTCCACGGGCACAAACAGGTGGCAGACCCTCCAACAGAAATGTTACGCAGTGCACTTTAATATAAAATCCTGTATGAATGAGGACGTGTTATGGAGCGTGCTAATCTTGGAGCAAAGAACTACGGGAAGTATGCACTCCAGATTTCTCTAATCTGGCCTAGATTTAAAAACTTAAATCAGGTTATTCATCTTGTTTTCAGATTTATTTTGGTTCTGGTTCTAAATTGGATTAATTCTAGTCTAGAGGTAGTTTATTTATATATAGTTTTATTTTTTATTTTCTGTTCATGCTGCATGATAATTTCACTACTTTTAAATCATTTTCTGGTACATTTAAGTCAGGGGCTCAACAGCTCAACAGCGCTGCCTCTAAAATAAAATTGTATTATGTTGCTATTCTTTTTTAATCACCCTTTAATTTATATTGATTTAAAAATGACAATATCTTAAAAATATATTCATTATACATGAGGTTTAGATAACCAATTTTAGATGAGCGAGCTGTTTTTTTTTTTTGTTGTTTTTGCTGACAGTTTATGCAAATGAACCATGTGGTTTCAAGTTTCGTGTATGTAAACAAATGTGTGCAAAGCTGAATTATATTATCAGTCGGGCTGATGTGGCTCTATAGTGGTTATGTGGTTATGGTTTATATGTTGCAAAGTTGAGTTTATCTATGCAGAAGATTTTAATTAAGAATCTGCTGCAGTGTAGAAAGTGTACAGTAGTCTTTGAAAACATTGGGTTTGATCTGTGCAGTGGATTGTGGGATATCTCATAGCTCCTTACCGCTGGTTAGAACCTCCTGAGCTTCCTCTGCTAACGGAGCTCACGGTTGTTTGTATTTTTCCTGGTTTATTAAATATATAATTTTTTGAACTTGCACATGTGCAAGATTATATCAAGAAACCAGGACACTGATGTGCATTTAAACACACTCATAGAAGCAATGATGGAGAAAATTCAGTCATCCAAGCTGCTTCTTCAATTTTCCAGAACTGAAGAAACATCTTCAACCAAACTAACTTTTGTCCAGTCGACAAACTGAATTTTTGCCTCGCCACTGTACTTAAAAATTTAACTGAGATGAATAAAGTGTTGAATATTGATCTGATCTGTTTTCCACCTTGAAGTCATTGATAATGATTATTGTGAGAAATTATTAATGTGATCAGTGTCTTCACGTAGATGATTATCATTATTTATAATGTATAACTAAAGGCAAACTGAGCAAATGTGTTATTTCAGAAGAACGAATCAAACTGGTAGCCCTTTGTATGACTTGAGTGTTTTATCTTAAATTTTGGACAAGCTTTTTTGCAGTTTGGGATTTTTGTATTGGTCTGCTCAGAAAAGTTTTAAATGTGCACTATGAACTGAAACCTGGATACTTGGTTAATTAGTGCATTTCTAAAATTTTTCAACTGCCAAAATTAAAGTTCTTAAAAGGTCCGTATTGCACTATTTTCTTGATCTATGTTATAATCATAGACTATATATAGAAAAATGGACATAACTAACTCTCAAGTCGCCGCGTTTTGAATAGGAAGTTGGCATGTGGGCGCTTCTGAGTCCTACTGACCCTGATTCCCATTGACTTGCATTAGAATATTGTCGTCCCTCTCTCTGTAACTGCTTTAATGAGCCTCGTCATTTTGGTCTTAAAATGTTCGTGTTAACCCGCTCGACGTGATCCTGGTGTTTTGATTCTGACATGATTCCTGTTGGCTATTTTGTCCATAATTAATTCTATTCCTAATATGGAGCTTTCCTGTAACCACTAACATCACAAGCTTCATCTGACTGGAACTGAACACTGTGGGTAACGTCACAATCGCTTAGTCCACTTGTATTGTAGTTTCCTCTACACAAATATACCTGGAGTTGTGTTTTTTCATTCGCACATGTTTAACACACAAATCCTGCATATTTAGGCCAAGTTCTCAGCTCCACTGTGTTTTTAAACTTATTTACACCTTCACTAGAATCATTTGGATCATTTCAGGCCTGGAATTGCCAAACTCTAACCCAGGGGTGGGCAATTTTTATTTTTTATTTTTCCGTGGGATCACATGAGAAACAGAAAATATTGTGGAGGGCTGGGCCAAAATGTTTAACTCAATTCTGTATAATATAATATTAATTGTATTTCTTTACAAAAAGCAGTAAATAACATTGTTTTTATGGACTAGTCAGACTGGTACAAGTTTATGTTATGACTAAGCAATGAAAAAGTGACGCTGCTTTATAAAAATGACATAAAAAAAAAACACCTAAAATAAAAGCAGTGCAACTTTAGTCCATGCATGAGGTAAAAATGATAAAATATGTTTATTTTGTCATTTTAAATGAGCTTAAACTGGCTGGTCAGAGTCAACCAAAGCACTGTTTGTGGCACGGGAGCTTTACAATGCCCAGGTTTGCTCTAAACTAAACTAAAGGTAAAAGGTAGCTGTTAAATGAAAAGCTACCACAGCATGACATCACAAGGAAAAGAGCATTTTAAGCTTTGAAGATGTAGAATGACTAATAACGCAGGATTATTCAAACGTGCGAATGAAACAAATCACAACTCTGGGTGTGTTTTTGACGAGGTAACAGCATTATAACATGGCCAGAAGAATCTAGAATCTAGGACCTTTAGCTCTAAGTAAAGTCTCTAGAGCGCAGTTAGCAGCAGTGGAATTTTTATGGTGGTCATTGTTGTTTCAATCTTGACGCCTTCAATCAATACAAGACGGTGACAATGCGACAAGAGGAAGCCAGAGAATGTGACTTGAACAACATTGTCAAATTCCTTTAATTTTTTTGAACAAACACGCATTTTTCTACTGTGTGGACTAAGCTGTCCGCTCTCTCCTCCACAGATCAGGATAAGAGACCCAAACCAAGGCGGCCGCGACATCACCGAGGAGATTATGTCTGGTGGGCGAAGTGGCGCGACTCCAACTCCACCACAAGTAAGTCAAAGATGTGTCAAAACTAGAGACGAAACAATAACCGAAATATCGTGGTCTCTCGTCGTTATAAGTCTTTCAGTAATATCATGGGCTATTGCAGTATATTGAATCTAAAGACTCTTTGCTTAAAGGGACAGTCCAGAATTTTGGACATAGAACCTCATTTCCTAGACCCTGTTTACACTGAAACGAATCCATGTATCACTGTATTGGAAACGATCTTCGTCCAAACACGTTGTTTCTGTGTCCTTCCTTATCCTTACCCTTCCCTATTCACACAGCTTTGAGCATATTTGTTTACGTTTTATGCGCTGATGTGTTTCAGTTTCTGTCGGACTAAAGGATACGACTCTGTGGAAGATGAGTGTTCTTTCTGTGACAGAGGGGTGTTCTGCTGATAGTGAATCTGTGCTGTGTTTCTATTGCATTGGAGATGGTTCATGTTAAACTTTTCAGAGATTATACGTCTGCAGGTCACATGCATAGATCGTATTTATGAATATATTCTAGCCTCTTAGCGTTTTGGCAGTGAATTAGCTACTTCGCGGTGCACAGACCTACATCAGCGTATCAGCGTTTTCAGGTGTCCACACAGTGCCAGATCAGATCCTTACTCAGATGAATTCGTAGGAGCTGACGTCACCAGATCGTTCTGTCTCTGGAGCCGTTTTCAATCAGATTAGTGTGAACGAACACGGCATCCACAACGAAAACGATTCGAATACGTACTAGTGTGGACGGGGCCCTATGAGCCAGAATGTTGGAGACGTGTGGAGACAGGTCGCTGGTGTTAGACTAGTGCATGTCAAACGGTCATAGTTGTCCTGCCACTAAAAATGGTCTTACCCACTCCACAAAACACACAAAACAAATCTATTATTACACCAGACTGTCCATGTGAATGTCTGTGTCAATAGAATAATTTTAGAAGTAAAACCAACCCTTGCATTTCAAGGATTCATGTCTGAGCAGCAGCAACGAGTTGTAATTGCTGACAGAAAGCTCGGCAGCGGCGGACTGATATATGAGAAAATAGTCCCTCAACATGCGACGATTCATGCGATGCAAGGTTAGTTTTAATTCAAACATTATTCTATCAACACAGACATTTACATGGTCAGTCTGGTGTAATAATAGATTTGTTTTGGGTGTTTTGTGGCGTGAGTAAGACTGTTTTTAGTGGCAGAATAACTATGGCCATTGACATGCACTAGCCTAGCACCAGAGACCTCTGCAAATACAAGGACTGGATGGAATATTTCAAAAAGTGTCTCCACACGTCTCCAACAGTCTGGCTAACTGGGAAATGAGGCCCATTGTCCAAAATTCCAGACTGTCCCTTTAAGTTTTGTAGATGTAGACAGACTAATAATGCAGGATAACTCAAACACAACTCCAGGTCTGTTTTTGTTGACGTAACAGCATTATAACTTGGCTTAAAGCTCCAAACAGTCAATTTTGCCTAATATGGGATTTTTAAACTGAGAAAAAAATACAGATTTACAAGACGAAACCAAGACACTATACCTTATTGAACCCCCGCCCCCATTGAAATGCACTGGCCTATCGTCATGGAATATTTCAAAAAGTGTCTCCACACGTCTCCAACACTCTGGCTCACTATGCCCAAAATTCCTGACTGTCCCTTTAAATTCATCATTATGGTGCAGCAATAACTAAAAGAAATAGAGGGAACTACATAGACCATGATCCTTTACTCTGTTTCAGTCTGTTTTATATTTTAAATCTTAACTCTTTGGTTTATGACAGAACCAAACACTCTGCACCCTGAAAAAAATTCTGTATTCTGTGAGTTTGAAGCAGCGTGTCTTTAACGGTGGAACATTTTTGTTAGGGGTTAGGGTTTATTGCTTTGTCTGGAATGTTCCACAATATAACATTAAACTGCTCTACCTTATGTTTACTCAATTGCAGGTGTTTTTATCGCTCAAAAATACCTAGAAAAACAGGCATTCTGACCGTGAGCAGGGTCACCTCTCCACAGATCTGACATGTAAAACTTCCAGTCTGGTTTGGTCTTCATGAAAATAGAAAAGTTTAATGCCATACTGTGAAACATTCCAGGCAAAGCAATAACATGTTCATGGAGAAAAGCATTTGAAGGACGCTCCACCAGAAAAGTTACACAGTGCATCTTTAATGAAACATAGACACCTTTCTTAGATGTTTTGATGGGACTGTTCTTCACCGTTGATGTTTGAATACCTAGTGATTTTATTCTATTATTAATACTATCGTTATTATTAGATTTATTTGTGTTTTATGTGTGTAATATGTAGAGCTTAGCCAGGTTGGTGCCACTTAGTGCCTCTGCTCAGTTTCATTTCTCTCCAGTAACTAAGTCAGGAATCAAAATACACTAGACTGTTCACAAAAACCCCGGAAGTGCAAGTTTGGGCACCAGCCAATCAGCGAAGAACCATACATTCAGTGTTGTCAACGATTCCTGAGAGAATGTTTTGTGAATTTTATCAAGGGGAAAGATGTTATTGCCCTTCTTCCTACGGGATTTGGGAAAAGCTTAATATACCAGTTAGCCATTACATATGTCACAACCAAATAGCAGTGATTGGTTAAATGATAAAAAGTACCCACCTACCGTCGAGCAAACGAATTCTAACACTGCGAGGTCAGACGGTTTCTACAAAGTGAAACTGGCTGATCAATCAGGCTATGTAGGGCTGGGTAACTATAAGAAGTTGCCGATACAATACATATATTGATACATAGACCACCATACGATACACACCTTGATACAGATGGCTTTTGATTCGATACGATATATTTCTAATCAGTTTGATGTGTTTCCATCCATCCTTTTTCTTCCGTTTATCCGGGGCTGGGTTGCGGGAGCAGCAGTCTAAGCAGGGACTCCCAGACTTCCTTCACCCCAGACATGTCCTCGATATGGTTCAATTTTTTTAAATGTCTAAATCATGGCTGTGATGCTAAAAGTCTTTGTTAAACCACTTCTTGTGCCAAATGAATATGAAACACAAACATTTTAATCATCAAAACAGTGAAAATGTCAAATGTGTCGCATAAACATGTTTCCCTCCTCTAAACAAGCAACAAAACTGTAGCTCTGTAACAAAATAATTTAGTAAAATATACCAAATGCTCTCTGCGACATCGATACAGCAGTCCATGATATCAATTCTGGATCATAACATGAAAAGATATATTGATATTTCAGTATATTTGCACGCCCCTTGTAGTATGTGTGACATGTTGGAGTGTGGAGAGAGTGGTGGGGCGTTGGAGGGTTTTGTTGTTTTTTTGTTTTTTTTTTGTCTATTTTTGATTTTGATTTGGAAAAATTTGAAAACTGAAAAAATAAAATTATAAGTAACATTACGGCATTTATGTTGTGAAAGTAGCGGGATTCACTCATGTATCACGATAATTACTATATCAACTTATCGTTCAATATATGAAAGCTGGAACAATATTTCTTTGGGGATCAATTTTGTCCTTTTACAACTGTTAGCTTCGTAAGCGTCATTTGAGTGGAGCCGAGCGCTATGGGCGCCGTCACGCTCCCTTAGTCCTCTTCTTTATACAGTCTGTGGGTAGTATTTGTCACTGATTTGTTATTCTGCTTACCCTTATTTTAGACCAGCACAATGCTTTATTTGTTTGACACTGTTTTAGGGCAGGGCAAATGGAATAAAACTTTTAAAAGAGGGTTTACGATAATGCTATAATTGACAGTATACCTAAGGCTGGGCAATTTAAAGGACTCTTGTGAGCTTTAAGCCATGTTATAATGTGTCCTCCTCAAAAACAGACCTGGAGCTGTGTTTTGTTTTGTTTCATTCACACATGTTTGAATAACATTTTATTATCTGTCTGTCTACATGTCTAAAGCTCAAAATGCTCTTTTCCACCTTGTGATGTCATGAAGCGGTAGTTTTCAAGTTAATAGCTACATTTTACCTTTTGTTCAGTAGAGATTGGCAATTCCAGAGCTGAAATTATCCAAATGATTCTAGTGAAAATGTATGGAGTTTAAAAACACAAATTACACAATTTTTTCAGCTATGTTATAATCTAAGTTCATGGTTTCCCGTGAAAAACATACCCAGAATTGTGTTTTCTTTCATTCACACACACAAACCCTGCATATTAAGGTTAGTTTAGTTTTTCTCTCAAACTGAAATCATTCTCTTCCACCTTGTGATGTCACGTGATATTACAAGAAGTGCTCCTCTGTGTTTTTAAACTCCATACATCTTCACTAGAATCATTTGGATAATTTCAGCTCTGGAACTGCCAGTCTCCACTAAACACAAGGTAAAACGGAGCTGAAATTATCCAAATGATTCTAGTGAAGATGTGTACGGTATTACCACATGACATCACAAGGTGGATCAGAGTGTTTTGAGTTTGAGAGAAAAACTAAAGCTAACCTAAATATGTAGTGTTTGTGTGTGTGTGAATGGAAGAAAACACAACTGTGGGTATGTTTTTGATGAGGAACCATGAACATAGATTATAACATATATCAGAAAATGGTGTAATATGGGGCTTTTAAGTTATAACTATATATTTTATTGTGATTTGAAACACTTATAAACACTTATTTCCTATCTAAGACCTTCTGTGAAATGTTTATAGCAAAAAAAATCCACAATAATGCTTGCTTTTCTTTTTATAGTCAGCCATATCTGGATCAGAAGGTACAGCCAATGGTGAGAGTGCCCCAGCTGCTTCTGCGCCGCCTCTGGTCCGACCAGGTGAGCTCCAGCTGATAATATTACTGTGTACTTCAAGATGACATCGTTTTAGATTTAGACAAACTTTAATGATCCACAAGGGAAATGACTTGGACACAGCAGCTCACACATCACAATATAATATAATAACAAAGAGCAAAATTATAAATGGTAATAATAAATTCAATAAGTAGCAAAAATAACAAGAGACTGGTGTCAAATAAGACATAATTATATAAATGTAAAATGTACAAGTAAAAATAAAAATATACTAATGCAAATATATCTCAGGTATATAAGAGGTCGTACAGGAAATGGGGAAAGATGAAATAAAGGACATAAAGTTATTTAATGTTAAATTGTAGTGAGTTGTACAGTTGTAGGGTAGTATTATCTGTTCCATAAGTGTCAGTTGTTGTGCAGTTGTAGGGAGTATTATCTGTTCCTTAAGGGTGAGTTGTTGTACAGTTGTAGGGAGTATTATCTGTTCCATAAGGGTGAGTTGTTGTACAGTTGTAGGGAGTATTATCTGTTCCATAATGGTGAGTTGTTGTACAGTTGTAGGTAGGGCTGTTTAAGAAGTTGAAAGTTGATACGATATATACCTCGATACATTGAGACATAGGCCATGATACGACACATATCGAGATACAGTGCAATTTCGATACAATATATTTCAAATCGATTCGATACAGTTCAATAAAAAATAATGGCTAAATTTTGGCTGCGATACTAAAAGTCTTTAAGTCACTTCTTGTGCAAAGTTCATATGAAACACAAACATTTTAATCATCAAAACAGCAAAAATGTCAAATGTGTCACATAAATAAGCAACAAAACTGTAGCTGAAACAAAATAATTTAATAAAATATACCAAAAAATACATTTGACGATATGTATTGATACAGCAGCCCACGATATCGATACTATATCATCACATTAAACAATATGATATGTCGATATTTTGATATTTTTACACACCTCTAGTTGTAGGGAGTATTATCTGTTCCATAAGGGTTTGGTATGAATGTAGTCCTGTATCTGTCATTGAACATACAGCTAAGTTAATCTATTTTAGTTTGTTTTGAACAAAATAAACACGATACAGGCACAAAAAGCATTGATCAAAAATGAAAATGTCTGTCTAATACGTAATAGACTATAGGTATTCTTATATGTTGTTTGTAAATTGTATTGTAAAATGAAAAGCATTGTTACATCCATGTTCAGTGTTTCAGTGTTTTGATATGAACTAGAGTGAACCATGACATTTGTTAGGGTTAGTATTCTCTGTAGATGATGCATTCTCTAAATTTCCAATTTTTGTTTAACTGAGAATTTATTTCATTCACTGGTAAATGGAATTCTCATTTAGAAACTATTAAACATATTTTGGACTCCAGGCTGAGATGAAGTGGTTCTCAGAAAGCCACATATTTTCCTAGCGCGACTACTGTCACTTAAAGGTTCACTCTGCAGTTTTTTGTGGTGGAAGGTCTGTCATCTGCTTGTGTCCGTGGAGACGTGATTATTTGCGTGTAATGTTCCACAGTATGACATTAAACTTAGCTGACAAGCAGGTGATGCCACGAGGCTAAGGTCAGGTCAGATCTGTGGACAGGAACTCAGCAAGAATCTATGTTTTCAGTCTATTTTATCAGTTAAAACACCTGTAATTGACTAAACACAGGGTAGATGCTTTAATGCCACACTGTGAGACATTTCAGGTAAAGAATCTCCAGAGAGACCCTCAACTAGAAACGTTATTTGGTGCACCTGTAACGGGCCTGTATTACGCTGTTTTCTATGTTATAATTTTGTTTCCTCATCAAATACATTTCCGGAGTTGTTTTTTGTTTTAATCATATTTTTAACACACAAACCTTGCATATTTAGTTCTTTTCTCAAACAGAAAACGCTCCTTTCCACTTTGTGATGTCATGTGGCAGTACAGCAAGTGTTCCACTCTGTTTTTAAAGTCCGTTCATCTTCACTAGAAATATTTGGATAATTTCAGCCTTGGAGTTTTCATTTTCTACTGAACTAAAAGTAAAAAGGTAGCTATTATTCTAAGCATTGGAGATGTAGACTAATGCAGGATTACTCAAACGTGTGAATGAAACAAAACACAATGCCAGGTATGTTTGTGATGAACTAACAACATTCTGACATGGCTTGTCATTGCTCTGCCTGGACTGTAAATTATATTTATTCAGTTACAGGTGGTATTATGGCTCAAAAATACCTTGAAAAACTGACTGTGAGCGGCATTGCCTCTCCACAGATCTGACCTGTAACTTGGTCTGGTTGCGAGGTTTAGGCTACATCCACACGACAACGCTCCTTGATTTTTTATTTTATGGGCTGAAAAAAATTTGCGTCCACACACGTGTTGGATCAATAAATATTCACGTCCAGACGACAACGGAGCACTGAGTGAAAACAATGTAATGCCACCTGTATGTGGCACTGTAAACAATGATAATAATATTTAATAAAACATATCTTATCACCATTTTTTAAACTTTAAGGTCATTTAGCCTATTTTAGATGTATCCCAGAAATATAGCCGTTTTGTTTTGCAAAAGTTGAACGATTTTAGAAGTTTTCGATTTTAGCCATAAGATTTGGATGAGAATTATTAGAATAACTCAGTCTCAAAATTCGACAGTTTAATTACCCGTGTGTAATCTTTGGTATTGATTCGTGTGTGTCATCTGCGTGGTGTGTGTTTGCATTAGCGTTAGCAGTGTGTCTCAGTTGCTGGGCGACGGGAGCGGCTCTGTAGGCTACACCTGTCACATTTCAGCAACAGTCTTGCGGTCCGCTGAGAGTAGTTCGAGTGCTGCAGCCTTCACTGCATCAGAGGACCCTGGTGATGACGGGGTCGAGACGTGATCATTTTCCAAAAGCTGCAGTTAGTTTGTCCACATGACAACGCAACGCCGGCTTTCTCAGATTTCTCCACTCTGGAACCCGTTGTCAAAAAACACAACATTTTTTGCCCACTCAAAACACCAACTCCATGTGGACGAAAGGTCAAAACAAATACAAATTTCACCATTTCAACCAAAAAACGTTGTTGTGTGGACAGGCCCTTAATCCCATACTGTGAAACAGAGAAAGCGATAACATCTCCATGGAGAAAAGCATTTGACAGATGGTCCACCAGAAAAGTTACACAATGCACCTTTGAAGCTCACAAGAGGCACTTTTGCATAATATAGGACCTTTTAACTGTAGTTGTTTTGTGTTTGTACAGATGATCAAGGGAAACCTACGCCGCCCCCTCCATCGAAAACTCCTGAGCTCTGTAAGCCTTGTCCTGACAATAACACTATCCCCTCTGTATCTGACTCTGAAGACTCCCCCCTCAGCACCAACTCCTCACTTGCCGTTTCGGACGTAATGGATGCCCCGCCCCCTGCCCCCCGAGACCCCACCCCCCTTTACAATCAGCCCCCGAAATCCCTGCGTACCCCGCGCCCTTACCCGACCCCATCCCCTCCGCACAAGACGAACAGAACGCCTCCGAATCGGAAGAAGAAGAAGACGAGGAGGAGGACGACGACGAGCAAATGGAGGAGGATTTGGAAGACACCGTCCCGTCGTCGAACGGGGTTGTAGGGACTGAAAGACTTGCTGTAACAATGCCACAGAATCACCTTGACGCTCCACTCGAGTCTCCCATCGCACAGCCAGAGGAGCTGCGCCTGCCCAATGGCCTGCCCCTGCCAGCGCCCCAGGACCCAGACGCGCCCGCCGCCTGCACAACCGAGCGGGACGACAGCCCTATCGCGGAACCAGAAGACGCCCAGCAGTCCGAAAACGCACCTGAACCCGTCAATATCGTACAAGCACCGATTGCACAAACTCTCCCACCAGAGGATAAAGACTCTGAAGCTGCCCCCGAGCCTACAGCCGAACCTGAAATCCTAGAAGTCGAAGCGGAAATCCAAGAAACGCTTCCCCCGGTCGTGTCGGAAATTACAGAGGAAAAAACAGATGCTCCCGAGGTACAAGCCGAAGTGAAGGAGGAGAAAGAGGAGGCCAAAGCTCCGGTGGAGGAGGCCCCCGAGCCCGAGAGTATCCCAGAAACGATGCCTCCTGCTCCCACAGCTGAGGAGAGAGAGGACACCCCACCTCCACCCACAACCACCCCCGCCCCCGTGGAAACTACTATGCAAGGTCAGTCTGCTGCGGTGGTGGAAGAAGTATTCAGGTTTGTTGCATAAGTAAAAGTACAGATACTGGTGAAAAAATGAAAAAAAACACATGAAAAAAATCTACCTAAGTAAAAAGATTATAGTACTTGTTTAAAAATATACTACAATACAATAAACAACAAAAAGTAAAAGCAGTAAAAGTTTGCGCAGATTTTGAGGTCTAATAAAGCTTCAAATGTAGTGATTTTGATAAAGATTTGTGCAGAATTTTGTTGAAAGTTCGTTTTTCTACTAGTTTTTTTTTGTATGTTTTTGTTTGCGCAAACTATGAACTTGTTAAAAAAAAAAACTCAGCCTTTTCATCAGGCCTTAGACAAGAATAAAAAAATACTTCTACTTTTCAGTCCTGTTTAAAATTGTAGCAGAAAATACAGATACCTGCTCTCAAATATAGTGAAGTGAAAGTATCCACTTTAGAGTACAGATACCTAAGTACAGTACTTTACTACTTTTACTTTGTTATGTTCCACCACTGGTCTGCTGTACCACTTTTAGATTCAGTACAGATCGTTGATATGACAAAAACACATCACATTTTTCTCCTCATATTCTCATATTGATTGATTTAGATTTTTACAATATACAATATATTTTGGAGCTCAATATTTATTATTCTTGTAAATGTGGGGAGATTTTGTGGTATTTTTGTTGTAGTACAATGAGATTTGAGATGTAGAAGGTTAAATAAGACAAAAAAGAGCACATTCTGTTATTTATTTGTTGCAGCTCAGGTCTTTTAATGATACTGAATAGTTCACTGGGATTATCCTTATTGTTATTGCACAATTAGTTTTGTATTGTCGTTTATCGCAATATGTATTCTAATTTGCTAGAGTAAGAGGCTTATGCACAGTCCTAGGATAAACTATGGCTTGTATTTTAGTGGCGGCATCTAGTGATTTTTTTCTGTTTTCAGCTGCTGTGTCTGTGCCAAAGAAAAAGAGGAAAATGAAGGAACTGAACAAAAAGGAAGCAGTGGGAGATCTCCTGGATGCCTTTAAGGAGGTACATGGATGCCTGTGTTGTTTTAAAACTAGAATTACTGTCAGATTTAGAAATGGTTGCGACATTTATTCAGTGCATTTCACAATCTGGGGTTATAAATGAGGCAGAGTTTAATGCGTTGCAGCTAGTGTTGTCACGATACATTTTAAACTCAATTTCGATACTAAGGAATAAACTCGATGCTTAATACCAATTCTGATATCATGATGATAATAAATGAGTATCTTGATTTGATACTAGTTTTAGTAACGATTTTCTGATTTTTGATACTTTTGAAAACCCTTGCTGTAACCTTAATATAAATAGAACAGTAGCATTACTTGATCACAACTGTTTTTTAGTTTTAAGAATTGCAGAATTGCTAAGAAATGTGCTCTTTATTTTAAGCTTTTTCATTAGAAATGTGTTGAGATTATTTAAACGACACAGCACTTAATTTAGTACTTTTACAGTACTCTTTAAAGGAACTATATTACGCAAAATGGACCTTTGTGAGCTTTAAACCACAATTGAATGTTGTTACCTCCTCAAAAACATGCTTGGAGTTATGTTTTGTTTCATTCACACGTTTGAGTAATTGTTCACAATTTGTCTGTCTACATCTCCAAAGCTCAAAATGCTCGGTTCCACCTTGCTGTGTCATAAAGTGGAAGTTTTCGAGTTAACAGATAACTTTTACCTTAGTAGAGATTGGTAATTCCACTTCTGAAAATATGCAAATGATTATAGTAAAGGTGTATGGAATTTAAAAACACAGTGGAGCACTTCCTGTATTATCACATGACATCATAAGGTGGAACAGAGTGTTTTCTAACAGAATAACTCAGCCTAAATATGCAGGATTTGTGTGTTTTAAACATACGTGAATGAAACAAAACAAAACTCTAGATATGTTTTTGATGAGGACATAGTATTTTAACATAAATCAGAAATAGTGCAAAATGATCTGATCTGGTCTCTGATCTGGTCTCTGATCTGGTCTCGTCACAGGAGCAGGTGGTGGTCAAACCTGAACCGGAGCCCATCGCCGCCCCCGAGCCCCAGGCCCCTGTGGCCCCTCCCGCCCCTGAGGAGGCGGAGCTCACCTGGGAGGACAAGGAGGACAAGCTGGACGCGGAGAACATCCAGCCAGAGCCAGTGAAGGCCGGCAGCACTGACAAGAAGTACCAGTACAAAGAGGGTGGGTCTGAGTTCACTGCTTCTTATCAGTGACTGTGTGGGGTTAATATGTCAGAGCCACTGAAGGTGTGCCGCGTTTCAGAAGTTTGATAAGCAATAAGTGTAGCCACATGACAGGATATTCTGTTGGTGATTCACTCTATTGGTGATTTCACAAATACTTTCAAATATTTCAGTAATTTTAAATGTATGCTTTGGGCAGTCAAAAAATGTTTTTCTACTTTCTAAAAAGTTAAATAACTATTTTTCAACAAAGCAAAGGGTGGCTAATTTGAGGATTTGAATATAAAGTATTAAAAAATATATATTTAGTAGAGTTTTTTTCCTTTCCTTCATAATTGCATCTATGTTACTTCATATATTTGACGTCTCCTACATGTATATAAATGTATAAAAACATACACTGAATGAGGTGGTGTGTTTAAACTGTCTTTTAGTGTAGGTGCATTTTTTACACACATCTTTGCTATGCATCTGTTTTTAAAGGTATGCTTAATTGTACATAATCCAAAGAAACTGCTTTGGTTTGTTTAGTATATTTTCCATTGTAAAATGTCATTATTTATGCGCAGAAAATTGGAAGCCAATAAACCCAGAGGAGAAGAAGAAATACGACCGCGAGTTCCTCCTGGGGTTCCAGTTCATTTCAGCCAGTATGAACAAACCTGTGGGTCTGCCCGCCATCAGCGACGTCGTCCTGGAAAAGGTACAGCACTAGAGAACCAGGGCACACTGTTTACGAGTTTATCAGTGTAATTAACCCCTTAGTCAGGTATTTTGGGAAAAATAGGCCAAAACACTAAGATGACTCTCATTTTAAACTGAATCTGTTCCTGAACCTTTGGAGCACAAACAAATGACTGGGCTGTTTGTGAAGCTGAGGCTCTGGAGTTTTGGCCTCTGTTGTCTCTAACTTTACTTTCAAGTTCACCCCACATTTTTGGGGTAAACATAAGAATAGTTGTAGCTGGTGTCCCTGGTGATGACCTGAGAGACAGTAGACTGAGCTTTTGTTGGGCTTTTGTTGGTTCTTGACAATTCCCATGTAAAAGCTGAAACAGATCTCACTAAACATGAGATTTAGGGACTTGTAATGAGACAAAAAAGTCCAGGCAGAATTCATATAAAATTCCTATTGTATTTTTGGGTTATTTTTAAATGTGTGGGTTTGGAGTACAAACTGGTCCAGATTCAGGTAGATTTGACTGAAAATAAGTGGGTCACAGATTTCCATTAATGTTTTACATGTCCATGAGATTGAGAGTTCTCTTTTATCAGAAGCTGGACAACAGTAATTAAGTAAGAAAAAGTACAAGGGCTTCTATCAGCCCCCTCAGAACATGAATAAAGTGCATTTTACAATATTAAACACGTACTGTGCTTAAATGAACTCAAGTGCTCCTCTCTTCTGTTTTTACATGTTGTTTACTTTGCTGATTCACACACTATAAAAACTCTCCCTGTGTCTCCTCTCAGGCAAACAAGACTCCCCTGCGGCAGCTTGACCCCAGCCGTTTACCGGGGATGAACTGTGGTCCCGACTTCACGCCTTCCTTCGCCAACCTCGGCCGGCCGGGGATGGGAGGAGGCAGAGGACCAGTGAGTCTCTGACTTTAACTGTTTCCTCTTAACTGCACAAATTGTTAGGGTATCAGAACCTTCTATAGGCCAATTCTATTTAATACAGATGAGGGCAGCTAAAATTGATATTGCTAAAATGCAGACAGTGATTTCTTGGGTCTAGTCAGTAATAGAAATTACCATATTTTCTGTACTATTGAGCACACCTGAATATAAGCCACATCAATGAAACTTTAACAAAATTTTTAAATTGTACATATATAGGCCGCAGCTGAATATTAGCTGCAGGTGTCCACGTCTTCAAGAACATTTTCATGGGCCATCTGTTTTTATCGCCTCTGAAAGCTTTTGTCGTCTTTGTGCGTTGAGTGAGTTCGTCACGCTGCCGTCGCCAAAATCTCACCATCGACTCACTGATGTTGAGCTCATGTGCAGCAGCTCCATTTCCTTCTTCTACAGACACATCTGTCACCATTAACTTAAAAGCTGCATCATCTGCATTTCTTTGTGTGTTTTCCATGAAGAAATAACTGTTCAAAAATTCCTCGGCACATCACCACCGTCTCTCCCCGTGCTCTACTGCGCATGTCTCCTGCAGAAAGAGCCTCTCTTCTGGCTGTATCATGTCAGTGTCTTGGAGGATTTCAGCAGATTTCAGACTCTCTCAGGGGCGGGATTAATTCTATTAATCAGGTTTGAGTGGATGTCCGGCTACTGAAGTTTGAGACATTTCTCATCATTTACACATCCGGGTGAGGCGTATCCCCCTCACTAATGTTACTTTAGCAGCATACTGTATTTTCTGGACTATAAGTCACTCCGGACTTTAAGTTGCACATTTTGGGGAAATGTATTTTATAAAATCCGAGACCAGGAACTGACATTTCATCTTGAAAGACAAGTTCTAGTAATAACAATAGAACAGAGAACAACAGACTGAATAGACGTTAATATAGACGTTAATATGTTAACGTAACATATTATCAGTTATTCAGATAATTATAGCATAAACAACAGAACATAAGTTCTGAAGCTGTGTTCTCCGTACCCGCTTTCCGCCAGTCCCTCATGACTTTCTCACTCACTCCAAACTTTCTTTCTGTTGCTCGATTACCATTTTCAGCTGAATATTTCACTAATTGGAGCAGGACAGCGGCTTTTTCTACAGGAGGCATGCGCATAGTGAAGTGACAGTGGTACAGGAGTAATAGTAGTACTAGATACTGACACACAAGCCTACAGCCGCTGTCAGTCTGAAAATTTTAATATGTCAGTCGCACCGGAGTATAAGTCGCAGGAAACACCCAAACCATGAAAAAAAGTGCCACTTATAGTACGAAAAATACGGTAACTTATTTTATCACACAGCGATAAACTCTGTGAGTGCACTGGCAATATCACTGACTAGTGTAGCACAGACATCTGTGTTTTCTGCACTCAGGCTGTGTATATCCGCTGTGTTGCCAAACCATAGACCGTATACATGAATGGACATATAAAGAATCCGTCCGTATATTAGCCGAGGTTTATAGTCCGGAATTTAAGATATTAGGTTCATTTGTGAATTTACTATGTGGATATTTTAAGACAAAAGTACAAACTGTCTTTTCTATAAGTTACTAGACCCATTAACATGATATATTACAACAGAAATTATATATTACAACAAAAACCTACATTTTAACTGTATTTATTTTAGCTGCTCTCCATCTGTGTTAAATAATATTGGCCTATAGAATGTTGTGATTTAATCTGAAACACAGCAATGCGGGCAAAAATCTGACTATGTCTTTTACTGTGAAACACAGCTTGCCGTATCCCAGTATATTTACCTCTTCTGTGTTCCTCAGCCTCCAGGGATGGGCATGGGCGTGGGTGGCCCGCGGCGGTCCCAACAGATGCAACGCAAAGAGCCGAGGAAAATCATCACCAGCATGTCCCTGAACGACGACATCCAGCTGAACAAGGCGGAGAAGGCCTGGAAACCCTCGGTGAAGAAGCCCACGCGGAGAGTTGAGGAGCCCGAGCAGGACGACCCCGAGCAGCAGAAGACCCAGGAGCTGTTCAAACGCGTGCGCAGTATTCTCAACAAACTCACACCGCAGAAGTTTCAGCAGCTGATGAAGCAGGTGACCGAGCTGACCATAGACACCGAGGAGAGGCTCAAAGGAGTGATCGACCTCACCTTCGAAAAGGCCATCTCCGAGCCGGACTTCTCTGTGGCCTATGCTAACATGTGTCGCTGTCTTATGGGGGTAAGTCACGACGATGGATCTAAAACTGTCCGTAAAGGTGTACTGTGTAATTTTTCAGGGTCTGCTACCTGCTTGTCTCTATGGAGATAGTATTGCTTTGCTTGAATTGTTCCACAGAATGACATTAAAGGCACACAACTTTTCTGGTATAGGGCTTGTCTCCATGGAGAAGTTATTGCTTTGTACGGAATGTTCCACAGTATGGCATTAAACTTTTCTGTCTTCATGGAGACAAAATGAGAACAAGTTGCAGGTCAGATTAGACCTGTAATGATAATCAATAAATCAATTAATTGTACGATAACTGTTAACGTTTTACGGCCGCAATAAATTATACTTGGAAGCATGCTTGTTTTCCTTCTCTCTCTCTCTCTCTTTTTCTCTCTTTTTCTTTCTCTCTCTTTCTCTCTCTGTATCAACACAGCAGATGCGCACACAGCCTAAGTGCATAAAACGCCACTGTCTGTGCGGATAACATGGATAACATAAAGCCGCAACACTAGTGCCGCAATCAGAGTGCCAAAACATCACCGTGTGACAAAACACGTCACGATGTGGGACACGTCTCAACGGCCCACATGCGTCAAAGTCAGGTGAGCGCGCAAACGATGAGAAGAAATGGCTCAAACAACAGCAGCCGACATACACCCAAAACCGAGCGACACAACCAGCCTAGCCCCCGGGAGAACCCAAAATCCACTGAAATCCCACAAGACACTGACACGATACCAGACAGGATAGCAGCTCTCTCATAGAGAAACAGGATCATATAGAGCGGGTTAATATGAACACTTCAAGACCAAAATGATGAGGCTCACACAGAGAGAGGAGCCACAATATTCTAATGTAAGTCAATGACTAAAATAATTTAAGGCCAATTTTATTGCAGAGACTTAATAATCCATTTTAATTATTAATTTGGTTGTGCTTAGTTCAACAATGGTTTATTCAAGTGCATTTTTGTTAACAAGTCCTTGCTGTAAACTACATTAGACTACATTAGTCTATTCTTATGTGAACAAGTCTATTTTATTTAAGCCAGACATGTCAAACTCAGGCAGGGGGCCAAATTTGGCTCGCGATATAATTATATTTGGCCCACGAGATCATACCAAATATGTATTAGAGCTGCCCGCCGGCTACAGATAAACTATAGAGACATTATTGATTTAAAATGTTGTTATTATTTTATATTATATTATACTTGTTCTGGATTCAATGTTTAAACAAAACTATGATTAAATATTTATTTGAATAAGAAAAAGTTTAACATTACATATCTCGAACGAAGAGAAAACATGCAGATGTTGAAATTTTTCAATAAATATTTAGTTTGGTCCACGACTTAGTCCTAGTTTTTAATTTGTCCCTCTGTGAATTTGAGTTTGACACCCCTGATTTAGACCTATTGTTTTTGGTTGTCTTGCTGTTCCTTCTTTGCATTTTTATTCCATGGTCATTATATTGATTGAAAATGGTCTCAAAATGTCAATATTATCATTTATCGCAATAAATTCTTGGTCAATTAATCGTCCAGCAAAATCTGTTATTGTTACAGGCCTAGGTCAGATCTGCAGAGAGGCAAACCTGCTCACAGTCACAATACCTGTTTGTCTAGGTATTTTTGAGCAATAAAACCACCTGTAATTGAATAAATGTGAAGTAGAGCTGTTTAATGTCACACTGTGGAACATTCCAGGCAGAGCAATGACATCTCCATAGAAACAAGCAGGTGACGAATCCTCAACAAAAATGTTCAACAGTACACCTTTGAAAAAAAAATGTGATTCTTTCCATAGTTGTATTGAGCGCAAACATTTACAAACAACACTTGTATTTACTGCAAAAATAAACCAACTCTTATTCCGACTGTTTAAAAATGTCTTTTCAAAGTAACCACAGTGAGGACATGATTCTTGGCAGCTGTTTTCACCGTGGTTTGGTGAAGTGGTTTGGTACAATCCTGCCCGGCTCCAGTGATGAGTCTGAGGTAGTGCCACGTGTCTGGGCCACTGATCCTTCTGATGGGAATGAGAAACTGTGGAGCCATTTTTACCAACAACTGAAAAACTTGTATTTTCCAGAGAGGTTTGTAACAGTCTCGCTCTCGTCTCTCTGCAGCTCAAAGTCCAGGCCACAGACCAGCCCGCAGTCACTGTGAATTTCAGAAAGCTGCTGCTAAATCGTTGTCAGAAAGAGTTTGAAAAAGACAAAGATGATGATGAGATCTTTGAGAAGAAACAGAAGGAGCTGGATGCGGCCGCCAGTGTAAGTATCACACACAGGAAATACCACATTTGTACACCAAGGTTAAAGGACCCATATTACCGTATTTTTTGGACTATAAGTTGCTCCAGAGTATAAGTCGCACTAGCCAAAAAATGCATAAAGAAGAAGAAAAAAACAACAACACATAAGTCGCACTTTTTTGGGAAAATTTATTTTATAAAATCAGAGACCAGGAAGCGATATTTCATCTTGAAAGGCAAGTTCTAGTAATAACAACAGAACAGAGAACAACAGGCTGAATAGGCGTCTGGTATGTTAACTAGAGCCCCGACCGATATATCGACATTTATTAGTGCAGACTTGTGATGTGAGGAGGAGCCTGTGTGAGCGCTGAGTGTTGGAAATATGTCGACTTTGAAGCTAGTTTCAAAGGTTCTTTCTCATTGGTTAGCGATTAGCTGCTGTAGCTCCCACACATAAACAGATTGTTGTCTCTTCTATTGGTCTATTGTAAAGTGACTATATTGGCCTTATATTTGTTACTGGACCTGCATTGATGTAAATAAGCTGTGAATAGACGTGTGAATGATCCACATTTGTGCATATAATTAATTACCGCAGCGCGCAGCATTTATGGCTAAAGGCTAATAGTAGTTTGACAACGGCTGAAAATGAAAACTTTCAGAAATCATAGGATAAAAAAAAACTTGCATATTTGGCTGTAGTTCAGCATAAAATAAATAAACCAGGACTAATGGCTTGAGAGAGGGAGAGAGATAGAGACCAAGTCCTGACACTCAGTCCTGGTTCAGTTCTGGTTTAGTCCTGTTTTACACATGGTTTAAATCTGTTTTAGTCCTGGTTTAGTCCTGTTTCAGTCCTGGTTCAGTTCTGATTTAGCCCTGCTTGCAACAAATGCAATCTGAAGAGCCGCTTTGGAGCCGAAAGAGCCACCTGCTTTTAGTGAGCCGAGCCAAAAGAGCCGGTTCTCTAAAAAGAACTGGAATACCCATCACTAGTAGCTGGAATGTGATGCAAAAATGCTATTAGGCCGACCTACTGTCTGTAAATATGACATAAAGAGTCAGAATAACAATAAATGTTGCCTAAATAAACCCAATTTAAAATCCACTAGAGCGAAACCTAAGTTTTTTAAACAATTCAAGATTTACAGTGAATTTTTACATCACTAAATATATTGGCTATTGGCAGCTCCAACTCCCATTTTATCGGTATCATATCAGCCACAACAAAATCCATATCGGTCGGGCCCTAATGTTAACATAACATATGAGCAGTTATTCAGATAACTATAACATGAACAACAGAGCAAAAGTTTACCAAACTCAGCATCTCACTCCAAATCACTAAATTCATTGAATCCATTGAATTCTTCATCTTCGGTGTCACTTCTGAGCAAATCTGCCTAACTTCGATTGTCACTGAAGTCCAGGCTTTGTCATCCAGTGACTTCCAGGAAAGTTGCATGGAGCACCCTCTGGGTTGCCTTGAAGCTGTGTTCTCCATTCCCGCTTTCCGCCAGTTCCTCACCAGTTTCTCGCTCACGCCAAACTTTATTTCTGCTGCTCAATTACCAATTTCTGCTGCATATTTCACTAGTTAAAGCAGGACAGTGACTTTTTCTGCAGGAGATATGAGCAGAAAACTGACACACAAGCCTAAAGTGTCCTCTCGAGGTTGTCAGTCTGAAAATTTTAATATATAAATCGCAGGAAACACCCAAATCATGAAAAAAAGTGCAACTTATAGTCCAAAAAATACTGTATTCTGATCTATGTTATAATGTTGTTTCCTCATCACAAACAGACCTGGAATTGTGTTTTGTTCATTCACACATAACATAACATTAAAACGTGTGAATGAAATAAAAGACAACAAAAGAGTTAAATTTGTGTAATATATTTATTTCACTTCTTACCTATGTGACTGGTGAGTTGAAAGTAAAATGTAAAACAGTAAAACAAATACTCAGAACTGCAGAGGGCCCTGTACCACCGTTTGAGAAGAAAGAAAGAAAGTAGAAATGCATAATTCCTCAGTAAATAAAACCTGACATGTGTTTGTGTGACAGGACGAGGAGAAGCAGCGGTTGACTGAGGAGCTGGAGGAGGCTAAAGACAAAGCTCGGAGGCGCTCTCTGGGAAACATTAAGTTCATCGGAGAACTGTTTAAGCTAAAGATGCTGACAGAGGTGATCATGCACGACTGTATTGTCAAACTGCTGAAGAACCACGATGAGGAGTCTCTGGAGTGTCTCTGCAGGCTGCTGTCCACCATCGGGAAGGACCTGGACTTTGAGAAGGCCAAGGTGAGGACCGTGCATTAGTGACGCGCGGGTCAACCCTTAACCCAGGGACTCGTGGGTTCGGGCGGGTCGGATAAATCAATGAGGAGAAGTAAAGCGGGTGTGGGTGGATCTTGTCCCATCATAGACTCACCTAAAGCATGTTCTGTAGCTCTAAAGATCAAACAAAAGCATGTATAACTGCACAAAGAGAACAGCTTTAGTCCTTCTGCAGTAGACACATCAGGAATCTCAGACTTCTGGTCTCTGCGCAATGCATACTGGGAAGGATTTTCTGAAAAAGTGAGCATCAAACCGCCATGTTTGTTTTTCCAGTGGGATGCATCTATTGACAAAACCAATCTTTTCTAGTCTTTTGAACCACATCACTGGTTCTGATATGGTCATATTTTAGTTTTGGGATTCCGACATCATTAATTATGTGGTTGTTGAATCCTAACAGTGGAAAACAGCTCGAGAAATGTGTTTGCGAACTCCATACCTGCAAAAGGGAATCAGATGTGTGTCACTGCAAACCTCTGTTCAAACTTTTTCCCTTCCCAACGGAATTGAAAAAGGCGAAGGCGATGGGCAGTATTGATCCACAGGAAGGACGAAAAAGGAAACCTTTGACTGCCTAAATGATCCCGAGTTTGCAGCGAACATTTTGTATGTGGAGCAACGGCAAAGCAGGATCCCGTTTGTGAAGCGAGAGGTGCAGAAGACAAACAGACTGAGCTACACTTTCTTGTTCTTGTGGTTTTACAGCAACATTAAGTGTTGGTCTCTTTGCAGTGGAAGGTGTTTCTTGGTGAACAGCTGGTGCCTTTCGCTTTGGCGTTGACTTTTTTAATTTGTAACCAAGGCTGAGTGAAGGATGGGGGTTTTGCTTTGATGGCTCCACATACAAAATGTTCTCTGCAAACTCAGGATGATTTAGGCAGTCAAAGTTTCCTTTTTGGTCCTTCCCGTGGATCAGTACTGCCCATCGCCTTCGCCTCTCACTATTTTTCAATTCCGATGGGAAGAGAAACAGTTTGAACAGAAGTTTGCAGTCACACACATCTGTTTCCCTTTTGCATCTAAGTTTGCAAACAAATTTCTCGAGCCGTTTTCCGCTGTTAGGATCCAACAACGACACAATTAAGGATGTCCTAATCCCAAAACTAAAATATGACAATATCAGAACCAGAAATAAAATTGATATGGTTTAAAAGACTTGAAAAGATCGACTTTGTCAATAGACACATCCCACTGGGAAAACAAACATGGCGGTTTGATGCTCACTTTTTTGGAGAAGCCTTCCCAGTATGCATTGCGCAATGACTGGAAATCCAACATTCTTGATGCATATATTATTGTCAAATGAAAACCTCATATGACAAGAAGAAGCCGCATGGTGTTGCACAGACCAGGTTATGAATACGGTTTTATAGGAATTGGAATTACATAAATGATGCTCCAGTTGAACAGACAGGACACAAATCATACGCGCAAACACAGAAAAAAAAACTGTCCCGCACATCACTATCGTGCATTTTGCCAATTCGTCCTGTCAAAGTTAGGATTGTTCTGATACAATACCGGTATCGCCAAAATCTCCAATACTGCACATTTTTCAAGTATCCTATCTGCAAGTACTCAGACCAAATCACAGATCCGATCCTCTGTAGCCTCAGACGTCAACACTAGTTGCCGTCTCTCTGTAACTGCTGTAGTGAGCCTAGTCATTTTGGTTTTAAAACGTTCATATTAACCCGCTCTACACGATCCTGGTGTTTTTATTTCGCTTTTTTGTCCATAAATAAATCCCTATCCCTAGTCTTCCGAACGGGTGGTCCTGGCATCACATTTTGACCATTTTTAAACCAATCACTTTTTTCCTATTTTCCAGCATTTTTCCTCCGTTAAATTGTACAAAATACCACATTTAAAGAGCCCATATTATGTTATTTTCTACTGTCGATGTTATAATGTCCTCCTCAAAAACAGACCTGGAGTTGTGTTTTGTTTCATTCACACGTTTAAGGAAGTGCTCCATTGTGTTGTAAACTCCATACACCTTCACTAGAACCATCTCTCTACTAAACTAATGATAAAAGGTAACTGCTAACTTGAAAAGTACCAAAACATGACATCACAAGATGGAACAGAGCATTTTGAGCTTTTGCGATGTAGACAAACTAATAATAAAGAGTTACTCAAACATGTGCAAATGAAACAAAACACAACTCCAGGTTTATAGAGTCAATTTTGTGTAATATAGGACCTTTAATATCCATTTATTTCATTTTAATCATATTATAATTTCTAACCCGTGTAAGTGTTGAGTTGAAGTGACGTTTTGTTTCTTTCTCCAGCCTCGTATGGATCAGTATTTTAATCAAATGGAGAAGATCATCAAAGAGAGGAAGACCAGCTCCAGGATCAGATTTATGTTGCAAGACGTTCTGGATCTGCGACGGGTAAATATCATCATGCAGGGGGGTTCTGTACGTGTATGGCGGGATGTTCGTCAGTTGCCATGGAGACAGAATGCACACATTAGCAAACACAGCCAAAATTTTTTTTAGATATGCCTGTGTCACATCAGTATCAGCCTCAGACAGACAAGAGCCTACAGTTAGCGTCACATCAGCTGCAAAGTGTCAATATAGCAGAGGTGGGACCAAGTCGTTGTTTTGCGAGTCTTAAGTCTCAAGTCTTTGACCTCAAGTCCGAGTCAAGTCCCAAGTCAAATACAGGCAAGTCCAAGTCGGCTGCTTTGAGCTTCAAGTCATTTCAAGTCTTTAAACCAAAATACAGTTTAGATTTTTGCAGTTTATATGAACTTTAAGTTAAATTGTACTCAAGAAAATTATAGTATATTTACTGTATTTTTCTGGTTATTAGACGCGCTCTTAAACCTCCAACCCCATCAAAAAACGACTGCACGCCCCACAATTCAGAGCGCCCTATACACGAATCCACTCTGGTGTCCCAGCACGACTTCAGTAAACTACAAAGCCGCAGCGCATTCAAACACACACGGAGCAGACAGCGACCGCACAGCGAAAAACACCCACAGTCACACATCACTCCACGCCGACGAGGAACAAACCGAAAAAGCGAGTGCAATGTGCCTTTCTGAGCCACAACTGAACAACTGAGTCACTGCGACACACCGACAATCCGTTGGTCCCAGACAGCACCCTCCCTACACGCCACAACTGAACAAAGCCCAGAGTCACCGTGAACGCACCAAACAAAGTCCCACTGACCCATCCAACTGTTGTGTTTGTAAAGTCCGGTGCGGTTTATTTGTGAAATAAGTTCGAAAATAGACCATTTAATGACAATGCGCCTTATAATCCAGAGTGCCTAATAGCCTGGAAAATACGGTATATATGAGTATTTAGCAGGGATCTGCAGCCTGTAGCTCGGGAGCCACCAGTAGCTCTCCACATCCTTCCAAGTAGCTCACCAAACAATTTCTGAATTATAAGTTTGGAGCTGAATAACAAAAATTAGATGAATAGAATGACTAATAAAATTGTAATTGTATAATTTTCATGCCTAACTTTACATTCTAATAAACAGATGATGGTGGATGTTTTATAGGCCTCTCACTGTTCCTATCGAAGGCTGTGGCTCTTATATTTACTCTTACTTACTTTTGTTGAGACCACTAAAATTAGAAGCTCTCTGCCATTTTCATTTTGTAAAGGAGCTCATTGGAGGAAAAAAGGTTGGAGACCCCTGGTTTAGGTTTTATGGGCATCTAACTGTACACAAAGGCTTGCCCTCTTTCTTATAATCGTCTCAGTTTCTTGCGGCTGCTAAAATGAGTAGCTCTCTGGCATTTTTGTTTTGTAAAGGAGCTCACCGGAGGAAAAAGGTTGGAGACCTCTGATTTATAGATTATAACAGTATAAGAGTTGTAGAAATGTACATATTTCCTTTTTAAATGTCTTGACAAGATCTTAGTGTGAATCATTATGCTCAGGATAGAAAGAATTCAGATTTAAAAATGCTTCTCAAGTCTTCTCAAGTCACTGACCTTCAAGTCCAAGTCGAGTCCCAAGTCTTAATCCATTTTATCAAGTCTCAAGTCCTAAAATAATGACGAACCCAAGTCACGACTCACAAGTCCTCACCTCTGCAATATAGTGTGTATTTTTTCTTCTATTTTAGACAATATAGGCACAGTTACATTTACTTTGTTTCTGTCCACAGAAAGAAATGAACTAACTCAGTGTATTATCTTGACATGTTTTGACAATAACAACTAGGTATTACATTATCTTACCTATAGTATGTTGTCCAAAATAGATGGAAAACTGAATTGTTGTACTAAGATGACATAAAACACTTTGTTCCACCTTGTGATGTCGTGTGGTAAGACAGGAAGTGCTCCACTGTGTTTTTAAACTCCATACACCTTCACTAGAATCATTTGGACAGTTTCAACCCCTGGAATTGCCTATCTCTACTAAACACAAGGTAAAAAGGAGATGTTAACTTGAAAACTACCACTTCATGACATCACAAGGTAGAACAGAGCATTTTGAGCTTCAGAGATGTAGACAGACTAATAATAAAGGGTTCTCAAACGTGTGTGAATGAAACAAAACACAACTCGGCTAGATTTTTGATGAGGTGACAGTACTCTAACATGGCAATACTCCAACGCACAAGAATCAATTTTGTGTAATATATGACTTTTAAATGTAAAAGGAAAGATCTTTAAAAATGAATCTGCATTTATTTTTTGTATTTAAACATAATTTTTGTGAAAGAATGTTCCTGTCCTGTACTTAGCTGCTCTGTCCCACCCACGTTCAGTTTCAAATCCTGCTTCACTGTTCCTGAGCTGTAGCTAAAACGGTCTGCTCCATGTCAGCACATTGACCTAAAGTAACTTTCAACTTGAACAGTGGCTGCAGTTACATGCTCAAAATCTGATTATGAAGAGATCTTTGGCATTATAAGATTAAAAGGACAGCAAAGTCATCTGATTTCTTTCTGATCACTGTCCCTCTGAATACTCACATCTGATTTTTGAGTTTGCCTGTAGGACTGTTTCGATAACAAAATTTGAAGTACGATATATCGCTGAAGAACATATAGACGATAAACGATAATACTGAAACTAATTAATCCGTGTATCATTCGTTCATTCGTTTTTCAATATAAAACCAAAAATAAGAAAACAAATAAACAACTTTTCTTCATTATTTGTCTCCAAAACCAAAATGAAAAAACGGATAACAATTCGTTTTTTCAGTTTTCGATTTTGTGTTTAAATGGAAAAATGGAAAAAACTAATAACGGCCGTGTTTACGTGACTTTCCGTGACTGTGATGCCGAACTTTTGCACCATGTGCGGACTGAACCAGGACTGATCCAGGTCCAGGACCAGAGCGAGACTGAGACCAGACCGGACTCCGGCCCTGCTGTGGGCTCTAAGCCTCCGGTCTGGTCCCGGTCTGGTCCCGGCCTGGTCCCGGCCTGGTCTCGGTCTCAGTTCCAGTCTGGTCCCGGTTTCAGTTCTGATCTCAGTCTCGGTCTGGTCTCGGTCTCAGGTCCCGCTCTGGTCCCGGTCTGGTCCCGGACCTGGATCAGTCCTGGTTCAGTCCGTACACGGTGCAGTCACGGAACGGTAAACAGCCGTTATCCGTTTTTTCCATTCTTCATTTAAACACAAAATCGAAAACTGAAAAAACAAATCATTATCAATTTTTTCAGTTTGGTTTTGGAGACAAATAATGAAGAAAACTGTTGTTTTTTTGTTTTCTTATTTTTGGTTTTATATTCAAAAACAAATCAACAAATGATACATGGATTCTAATTTATGCCACTGACACAACAACCCAAATGCAGGATTATCCCCCCAAAAGACTTTTACAATGTACAATATTGTTAAAAAATGGAAATGGTAATAAATAAATAACAGAATGGAACGCGTTAGTAGTTAGTTAGTCTCTATAATGAGTCCTAGAATTTATTTTTTTTCACCCTCTACAACTCAACTTATTATAGATCAGAAAACTAAGAAGTTCCCCACTAATACAAAGAAAAACTCCCCACGGTTCACACTGCTTAAAAATAAAATTTAAAACAAAACATACATACCTACTTACTGTCTTCTTTCCCCTCATCTTCCAGAACAACTGGGTGCCAAGGCGAGGCGACCAAGGCCCTAAAACCATCGACCAGATCCACAAAGAGGCTGAGCTGGAGGAGCACCGCGAGCAGATGAAGGTCCAACAGGCCCTGATCTCCAAGAAGGACTCAGGGGGTCCCGGCGGCAGGATGGGAGGAGGCGAAAGGGGATCACGAGGCGGACCGCACACCCCGGGCCGTGGAGCGCCCCCACAGGACGAGGGCTGGAACACTGTGCCCATCTCCAAAAACAGACCCATCGATACCTCTCGCCTCAGCAAGATCACTAAGGTACAGAGGACGGGTTTACAGAGGTTTGACACTTTTGTCATAGTGAATAACATGGACATTAGGGCTGGGTATCAGTACACACACCCCGATACATATCTTGATACAGTGTACTTTCAGTTTGATACAATATATTTTAAAATGATTCGATATGGTTCAATAAAAAATAATGGCTAATGCCGGGCGTACACTGTGCGATATTTTCGGTCGTGTGACTCAGCCCCAGCTTAAACTGTACGACCAAATCACAGGGTTTAAAAGTTCACAGCTCACGAATCATGTTCTCACACTGAACGAACCGATGCTCGGATGCGACTTGCCTGCTCACACTGTACGTTCACATAACGACCGGAGTTGTCAAAGTTGTTGTTCCGGAAGTAGAAAACCACGAAGAAGAAAACCACGGAATTAGAAAACCACAGATGTGCGGAGACACAATGCTGAGCCACTTCTGTGTCCGCGCATGCGCAGTCTGCCAGATTCTGGCAAATCGGCTCGTGGAACAACTTCAACAGAGCGAAATCCTCACGAGAGGCGACTGGATTTCAAACAAGTTTGATTTTCTTGCGACCTACGAATGTCGATCGGGAGCTGGTCGTGAGTCATTAATCGGTTCTCTTTACCCCATGTAAACTACACGAAGCACGACACACGATGAAGCCAAAACTCGGCCCGATCCCCAAAACAGTCGCACGAGCGAAAAATCGGCTCAAAAAGGGTCAAAAATCGCACAGTGTACGCCCGGCCTAAATCATCGCTGTAACACTAAAAGTCTTTGTTAAACCACTTCTTGTGCAAAGTTCATATCATCAAATAGTGAAAATGTCAAATGTGTCACATAAACAAGTTGCTTTCCACTAAACAAGCAGCAAAACTGTAGCACTGTAACAAAATCATTTAGTAAAACATACCAATAAATACTGTCAGTGAAATATAGCGATACAGCAGTCTCCGATATTGATACTGTATCATCACAATCCGTGTATCATTTGTTCATTCGTTTTTCAATATAAAACCAAAAATAAGAAAACGAAAAAACAACTATTTTCTTCATGATCTGTCTCCAAAACCAAAATGAAAAAACAGGTAACAATTCAGTTTTTGAGTTTGTGTTTAAATGAATAAAGGAAAAAATGGATAAGGTCAGTTTCTCGTTTCTGTGACTTAACCTGCGATGCCGCACTTTTGGCTGCATACGGACTGAACCAGGACTAAACCAGGTCCGGGACCAGACCGGAACCAGACTGGGACTGAGACCAGGACTAGGAACGGGACTAAGACTGGGACCGGACCAGGACTGAAAATGGTTTAGTCCTGGTTTAGTCTTATTTTAGTCCTGATTCAGTCTTGGTTCAGTCTGTATGTGGCGCAAAAGTCCGGCATCGCAGTTTAAGTCTCATTTCTTATTTTTGGTTTTATACTGAAAAACAAATGAACGAATGATACTCGGATTTATTGCATTAAACAATACGATATATTGATATTTTAATATTTTAGCACACCCCTAGACAGCATATTCATCATGTCAGATGTACACTTCATCATTCCATGGAAATAGAAAGTTTAATTCTTACTTTGAATTTTTTGTTATGAAGATAAATATGTTTTATTCCATACTGTGGAAGCTTGTAGCCAAAGGAACTTTCTTTCCTTGGAGATGAGCAGGAGGAGGCTCTCCTACCTGGCCAAATAAGAGTCCGTTTTTTTGGAGATGCAAGCACACTCACAGTAAAGACCATAGACTGTATAATGGAAGTGGACGATGGGACTGTGATGTCACCCGAAGTGTTTGGCTGCAACCAACCGAGTTATAGCGGCAACTAGGGACCGTATTTGAAAACGTGAGTGTGAAAGCAAAGAGCCATTCAGGAGGGAGGCTGTTGAAGGCGCACGCACCCTCCCACTCACATCACGTTTGGAAGTGGGTGCATCCTTGGTAATGGCGGCCTTGGTAATGTCAATCAAAGCTGTTGCCAACTATAGTAACATATGTAAATATTTGTTAAGTTCCGTGATCAATGTACAGAAGCAACCACATCATTATTGAAACTATATCTATATATATAAGTTTTTCTTCTTCCCTCTTTTCAATGTACATATAGTGTATATGATTATTGTTTCTCTCCTGGCACAAACTCGAAATAAAAACGAATCAATCAGTCAAACTGTAGCTGGAGCAACCTCAGGGAAAGTAGACACCAGATTGGTCTGTTTTTAATGCTCATATCTTAATTTAATTTCGATATAGAATAGCAAATTAAAAATCAGTTTTTCAGTGCAATAAAAACATCATAAATGAAAAAAATAACATGCTTTAATGGTTGTCTTATTAAGTTACGCATGGCTTTTTGTATAGTCTTTCAGTTTTACCTTTCTTCATTCTAGACTCCTGTACTTGACTTCAACAATCAGCTCCTTGCCCCCGGCGGTAAGGGCACGTGGGGCAGCTGGGGCAAAGGCAGCAGCGGCGGCACTAGCACTAAACCTGCAGAAACCGGTACGTATTCTGATTTGACCTGAAATATATTTCAAATTTGAATCTTTTACAAAACATACGACTACATTTGATTTATTGTTCTAGGCCCAGAGCCGGGCAGTAGAGCGGCCACGTTGAACCGGTTTTCAGCTCTGCAGCAGTCTTCCTCCTCGGTCTCACCCCTGGACTCAGACAGAAGAGTTCCTCAAAGGTAAAAGAAAAGAACCTGAGCTGGAGGACGCTGTTTAACTGTTACATTGCAGATTTGTTGAAGGTTTATGGTTTGAAGGTGAAGGTGCATTGCGCAACGTCTGGTGAGGACACTCCTACTTGCTTGTCTTTGTGGAAATGTTATTGCTCTCTCTAGTTCTAGTAGTTCCGTAGTGTAGATTAAACCTATCCATCACGAGGAAGACAAGCAGGTTACAGCACCACGCTACATTACAGTTCAGGTTAGGATATTTCTTTCAAATAGTGAATTTCTTTTTGAATGGAGTTTTTACATTTGTCTGAATAATGGAGCACAGTTGTGGCTTACAGGTGCAATAAGAAAGGTCTTCTGTGGTTTGTTTTAGTCGTGACTTTGGATGCATCGATCCAGCTTTTTAAACGTGTATTGTGTAACTTTTATGATGGAAGGTCTGTCATCTTCTTGTTTCTATTTAAATGTCATTGCTCTGCCTGGACGAATACATAATAATAAGAACAATAATAAAAAAAGAAAGATAAAATAAACTACTAAAATAATACTAAAAGTCTTAAAATAATAAAACCAGTAAAATAAAATAAGAACAAAATCATAGAATAGAAATAAATGAACCAATAAATAAATTTAATCAATAAAACCAATAAAAATAAATAAAAAAACACAGAGGACCACACAACTCACGCGGTGTTAAAAGCCAGAGAGTAAAAGTGGGTCTTAAGACGAGACTTAAAACACTCCACAGTGGGGGCTGTTCGGACGTGGGGGGGTAGTATGACATTAAACAGCTCTACTTTACATTTATTCAGTTACAGATGGTTTTAGAGTCCAAAAATTCCTTGAAAAACAGACATTCTGACTGTGAGCGGGGTCGCCTCTCCACAGGTCTGACCTGTAACTTCTGGTTTGGTCTGGTTTGGTCTTCATGAAAGTGGAACAGTTTAATACCACACTGTGAAACATTCCAGACAAAGCAGTAACATCTCTATGGAGACAAGAATTTGACGGACCCTCTACCAGAAAAGTTACACAGTACAGCTTTAAGTTCCAATTCTACAGCTTTAATCGTCTGCCAATACCCGATTCAACCAAGACCAGTGCAGAGACTGAGAACTCATTTATTTCCTTAAGACTAAAATAAAATAACATGGATCGGTTTTGTCTGTTATTTAAGTGACACTAGGACAACTTTTTATAAATAAAATTTCAAACATTATGGGCTGCTATTTATGACCAGTAATTAATCTTTGTATATGTCCAATCAGGATTTTGACTGAACAGATTTTTGGAAGCTGATACCAGTACTGGACTGGTGCATCCCTAGTTGTGAAATTTATTCGCTGTAGCTTTTGTTTTATTTAGAGATAGAGAGACTTTAGTGATCCTGAGGGAAATTCAAATTTTGTTGCAGCAACATTTCCACTGCGTTTCTCAGGGTCCTTTGTGTCTCAGCCAAAGGTCTCAGTGTATTTTAACAGGAGGACTGGTCAGAGAGGGTCAGCAGATCTGTGTCAGGGCAGATTGAGGAGAGGAAGAGACAAAAGTGTCTTTCCTGTGTGTCCTGCAGGGGGGAACCAGGTGAACACGACACCATATTTACTCTGCTCTGGTGTTTCGCTTGGTGACGAAATGGTTCATTCCTCAAAGTGTTTTCTCTGAAGTTCTTCTGCCACATTTGCTGCCGTATATGGTGTAAAAAGCCTGTTGCATCTCAAATGTCCATAGCTACCTCTTTAGCTAGCTTCTTGGCTAGCGTCTTGCACCGTCTCCATGGATACAGGGAAAACAAACAGCTCATTGCACAAAGTCCAACAGTCCCTCACTTGTGTCCTTTGAACTGCATATGCTGCACTTTTCTGTCGGCTGAAATCCCTTGATATGATGTTAAAAACTGAGCCAAAACAAAAAGTTTCAAAAACTGCTCAGTGCGTGAGCCAGATAGCCACAAGAGCAGCCAACCACTCTGCTGTCATGGTTCAAATTTAGGCCATAGCTTGAAGATTACGCATATTACCATATTTTTCGGACTATAAGTCGCTCCTGAGTATAAGTCGCACCAGCCAAAAAAGGCATAATGAAGAAGAAAAAGTCACACTTTTGGGGGGAAATTTATTTAATGCAATCAGGGACCAGGAACTGACATTTCATCTTGAAAGTCACGTTCTAGTAATAACAATAGAACAAAGAACAACAGACTGAATAGGCATTAACATATTAATGTAACATATTAACAAGTATTCAGATAAACAACAAAACATGAGTTTACCAAACTCTCCATCTCACTCCAGATTACTAAATCCATTGAATTCACTGTATTCTTCTTCCTCGGTGTCACTTCTGAGCAACTCCGCACAACTTTTGTTGTCACTGAAGTCCAGGCTTTGTCATCCAGTGATTTCCAGGAAAGTTGTATGGTGCACCCTTCCAGTTGCCATGAAGCTGTGTTCTCCATCCCCACTTTCCGCCAGTCCCTCACAAGTTTCTTACTCACTCCAAACTGCTGCTCCTTTCTGCTGCTTTATTTTCATTTTCTGCTGTATGTTTCACTACTTGCAGCAGGACATTGGCTTTTTCTGCAGGAGACATGCACAGAAAAGTGATACACAAGCCTAGAGCCTCTCACGGCTGTCAGTTTGAAAATGTTAATATATAAGTCGCACCGGAGAATAAGTCGCAGGAAACACCCAAACCATGAAAAAAGTGCGACTTATAGTCTGAAAAATACGGTAGTTGTATTTAAAGGAATATATTTGCTATTATGACAAAACTTAATGACCTTTCATATCACTGAACAGACATAGCTCCAGCCGAGAGCGTGGAGATCGGTACGAGCGCTCAGACCGGGGCGGGGACAGGTACGACCGAAGAGATGACCGGAGAGATGACCGGAGAGATGACCGAAGAGACGACCGAAGAGACGACCGAAGAGACGACCGAAGAGACGATCGAAGGGATGAGAGGCGAGATGAGCGAAGGGACGACCGTGACAGAAACCGGCTCCAGGTGACGAAGAGGAGTTTCAGCCGAGAGACCGAAGAGCGCAGCCGAGAGAGAGAGCAGCGCGGATCCACCGACCCTGTGCGCCGTGTGGCCAGTATGACCGACGACCGGGGCAGCAGGGAGAGAGCGCGCAGCAAAGACAATGGTGAGGCTCAAACTGAACCGATGACTTACCCTCTGATTGTGACTGGTTACATTATATTTGTTTATTTTTACTACTACTGCTGCTACTACTACTACTGTTACTACTACTGTTACATCACTATTACTTTGATCTATTCATACACTAGATTTAAATCAGTTTACTTCACTGTTGGGTGGGTTCTTGTTCACATGCACCATGCATCATTCACCACAGCGCTGCACCATGAGCCACGTGAGAAACCATCAGCTCACAGCCAAACTTATTTCCATGACAACAGGCTTGAAGCAACAGAGGCCTGCTGATACACACTGTCATGCTCTTTGACACTGACATAGCGGCAAAGGAGCTGTATAAACATCAGCAGCCCATTGCTGCTGTTGCCCCACTAGTGGTAGAAATAAAATGTACATAAAATATGAATAATACCATATTTAATATGATGTGCGTTTGGGGACTTAACGTTTGAGCGTGTAAGGCCTTTTTTTCTGTCCTGCAGTGTGACATGACTTTATAGCAAAATCCCCAAAAAGTACTTTCAAAAACATATTAGTTCTTCATCAATTCCAAGCGTTTTCACAAAGACCAGCAACATTTTTGTGTAGTTCTTTTAAATTTTAGACATTTTAACATCCCCTGCAGTGTGACTTCTCCTGTCACCCTG